AAAATTCTGCGTGCTCTCCATGAACACCTAACTACTTCTGTAGCAAAATGCTTTCACTGAACTGTTGTGGAGATAAAGCTATAGTACTAGCTACTGTCAAGCACTGTCTAGCTACTGTCAAGTACTAAAGCTACTGTCAAGCAAGTAGCCTCATTAGAAAAAAAGGTTGTACACAAAGGGCTTATAACCAGAAACCTTATAAATACAGTGATTTATCATCTAGCAAAATACAGTACTGTGCAACTGAAATGAGGTGGAGTACTTTGTACTTAAATGCATATATGTTCGCAGAGGGCTTATAACTAGGAACCTTATAAATACAGTAATTTATCATCTAGCAAAATAAATACAGTACTATGCAACTGAAATGAGGTGAACTACTTTGTACTTAAATGCATATATGTTCCTTATGGGATGATGGTGACTGAGCTTATATGAGATGTTGCTTGGTAGCAAGCTTAACGGTAACCAAAATTCTGCGTGGTCTCAGTGAACACCTAACTATTTCTGTAACAAAATGCTTTCACTAAACTGTTGTGGAGATAAAGCTATAGCACTAGGACTGCCAAGCAAGTAGCCTCATTAGAAAAAAAAAATCATATCCAAAAATAGAACACAGAATTGAGGGCATACATTGGCAGTATATATGATTTGACATAGCAATTTTCAACTGTTAGCATGGTTAAATTGTACCGGTTTAAAGTTTTGCTTTAAAGGGCAATCTTAATAGACAATTAAATAATTGTCTGTATAATTGTCTGTCTGTATGCTGCTTATTTCTTGACTCTCATCTTGAGTAGTTAGGCATCAAATTTGCTAACACACGAATCTATTCGTGGTTAAATTGTACCGATTTAAAGTTTTACTTTAAAGGGCAAACTTAAGAGACAATTAAATAATTGTCTGGTATAATTGTCTGTATGCTGCTTATTTCTTGACTCTCATCTTGAGTAGTTAGGCATCAAATTTGCTAACACATGAATCTATTCACTTTTGTCAGCTTTATTTAAAGGCTTATCTGGAAGGTCAGATGTTCTTGATTTTTCACCTTTGGCTCATAACCTTTAAGCATGTTTTGATACCAATGCAGAATTAAACAACACATTTGCACATGATAATTTGAGGAATGATTTGCAGATGTTAAAATTATCCTTCCTTAATCTTCCACTTTTTTAAAAGAAG